ATTAATTTTCTCTTCCTTCACTTTATATTTCAAGTCTTGAATGACATAGCTTTGTTGCATGGGTTAAGATGAGACTAATGGAAATGGAATGCATTATAACCATGCCGACTCCTCGAAAAATAAGCTCTCTTTGTTCACTGCTACAATTAAAAGTTACGTTTCATTTTTAGCCCTCGTTTGATAGCAATTTTTCATCCCAAAAAGTAAATTTTTTTTATTGTTATTTCATTATTTCAGCCATCATTAAATTCCAGATAACCCGATTCCATTCCAAACACTATCAATTAAATTTGCCAATAGGCAGATGACATTAGATCATAATATGAGTTCTATGCTGCGTTTCCTACTTTTCAATTCACCACTTCCTCTTTGCCTGTTTGCTCGTAGATTGATATCTATTTAACCCGAGGCAAACGCAGCAAATAATATTTAAGGTCTGGAAACAGGAATTGTGTGCTTGACATGGATAGTTCTATTTCTGCAGATAACTTTCTCCAGTAGTTCTCTTTCTATTCTAGACGGGTGACCCCTATCTATGTTGCGTAATTCTTCTTTCTATTGGCTTTGTTTGTGGTGGGTATGGGCTTGCTGCAAGTTAAAGAAGAGGAGCAGGCATGATGGAATTCCATATCAGGAACTTGAAATGGGCTTGCCAAAATCCACTTCAGCTGTCAACGGTAGGACATCTGAACCGTTCAGTTGAAACAAAAGAGCATCCGAGCATGTTTGGCTACGCTTATAATTTAATTATAAGCTTCATTTTCTCTTAATGCATAGCATAATAGCATTACTCATATGAATTGATGAAGATGAGAAAAAAAAAAAGAGTTGTTTCAGCAAGCGCAAGCACAGGCACAGCCGCACAGGCAAAGTCTTAAATTGCAATGTGAAATAAATTAAGTAATTACAAGTAACTACCGGCACTGCAGAAAGGGTTAACTGGTTAAGGGTTGTTGATTTTCTGAAATCATTGGCGAGAAGAGAGCCGTTAGCTGTGCCTCGTGCCTATAGCCGCAAGGCGCCGGTCGGTTGCCCCCACCTTTGCACTTTCCTCTTTTAGAAGGACTTTGATTTTTGAATTTTGTAGGGATGCAGGGTAAGTGGTGGTCTCCAGGTCTGGTTTCCCGACTCCCATCTCTATTAAAAAGAAGAATACAAAAAAATGAAAGCGAAAAATTTTGGGCCCCCTAAAAATCTGGGCCAGAGGCGGAGGCCTCTTGGGCCTCTCATCAGGTCCTGCCCTGATCTGAAGGTTGGGATCAGGATTGGGATGATGTTGATTGGGACGAAGACATTGCAATAAAATCACCCGGGGGGACAATATTAGGAGTATCTCTGCAAATGGCCTCAAGTCAAGGTCTTCTAAGAAAGATGGGTGGGATAATGACTTGGATGATTAGTAGTGTGTTAGAGAAATGGGAATCAGAAGAAAATCTCCAATAGATAGACACATCACATAGGGGCTAAAGAACAAGAAAATGAGACAAAGTCCTTTGTATTTAATAATTTTTCGATTTTTTCTCCCACAGAAAATGTGAAACTTTGTTTCTTGCATAGAATCTTTTGCACATGATAATGTGTACGGAAGAAAATTTTGTAGTCCAGAGAGTTTTCATTTGTCGATGATTTGGCTTTGCGATTGTTACCATAATTTTTAAATACCAAGAATTGTAGTTGAACAAATTATGTTCAATTCTTAAGGAATTGTCAATATTGCTTCAATAATAATAATAATAATAATAATAATAATAATAATATCCAACGTAATTTTACATCCAAAAATTTATGAGATTATAACCCAAACGGTTATTAAACTTTGTAAAAAGTTTTTCACGGAATCACTAAACTTTAAAAATTACCTAAATCATTACTAAAATTTGTAAAAAGTTTACATGGGATTACTAAACTTTAAAAATCATCCTATTCATCACTAAATTTTGCTAAAGATTTCTCAGGGGTCACTAATTATAGTGATCCATGGGAAAACTTTTGCAAAGTTTAATGATCCCGCAAAATTTTTTTGCAATGCTTAGTGATGAATGGAGTGATATTTAAAGTTCAATGATCCCGTGAAATTTTTTTGTAAAGTTTAGTAATAACTCGCGTGATTTTTGAAATTCAATGACCCCGTGGAAACGGTCACTAAAATTTAAAAACTTTCAGAAACAGTCACTGAAATTTAAAAGCACATTATTTGTTAATTTCTAAAAGTTTTTAAATTTCAGACAACATAATAATGATCTAATCATCAGAGTTTCTGTCATCACAATTTGCTAAATGGCGTGTTAGTTTTGTAAATAATCCATATTTACTTCTAGATTAGGGGCAAGCCAGGTCAAATTTAAAGGTAAAGGACTGTTCCAGTAAATTGCACTTATCTGGCATTGTTATGGTCAAGTCTATGGTTCCCTTAATTTTGTCCAGATGGTACTAGCTGTAGTGGTTTCAGCCACTATAGATCATGTATATTCACACACAATATTGTTAATCCACAGATGAGGTAATCACCGACGCACATAGTCACAGATGATTGTCAAAATTCAGGCATTAAGACACGGGTATAGTAAATTGAGGAATCGATCTTGTACCCTCATATTCCAGGATTCTTTTGAGGGACCTAGATAAAAGAATATCACTGGTTTTTATTCCTCTTAAAACCCCTTTGATATTTGGAACCATTCATAGTTTTACGAAAGGAAAGATATTACCGAATGATACCCTACGTTTCGTTGTAGAAAGTTATTAAACAAGATTCGAAAAAGGATTTATCACCAAGAACAAGCCCAATCAGTCCCACAATGCTCCAAAGATTCATTGGTTTCACTAGGATACAAATAATCTAGAACAATCTTTATAATCCATCACAATTAGAGTTATCGATCTGTTTAGATACTCGAAAAAAAACTCGAGCTCTGATACAACTATTAGATCTTGATTCTCAAATCAACCACTCAACATATCTCTAGAGTGTAGAAAATGAAAAAGAACATCAAGATTTTTCGACCAAATCTTAAAGGTTCGGTAACCAGTTCAAGCCCCTAATATCCCATTGAGCATCCACCAAGGAATAATGCTCAAGTACTAAGCATTAATAAAACAACAGTGAAAAGTTGACAAAATCACAATCCAAACACACCATATATCTCTCTATAACATGGTCAATGTGTAATCACACATAAGGTTACTATTCATCCACATCAACTACAAAACCTACCCTCCTTTTGTACGTGTCATCATCTAACCATAAGTTGCAAAAGTGATAAAACGCATCCCCAATTAACAACTTTAGGCTCTTCATATTTGTGATCGTTAATTGTTGACTGAGATATTGATTTTAATTCAATTTCTAACTTTATCATCACGTCACATTCTATGATTCCTAATTTTTAACAAACAGAAATTGCTTAATTGACATACATACCCGAATAAATCTCTCACATAAAACAACAAAAATGAAAATAATTAAGTAATTAAATTAATTATACCTAAAATTTTAAAATTTAAACTAAATCAAAATTTGTACGAATCTAAATTAAGATCGTAAAAATTTAAACTTTTTACCCTCTAATAAAAAGTAAAAACCACTCGTATAACATCAATCGTACCATCAGACCATAAAATTCCCTTTCATTCGAGTGGGTTGGAACAGGAAACCTAAAACAATCATCATCCCAATACCATGACATCATTTCGTCATAATGCCGACATCAGCCGCACTAAGTTAGTTAAAATCACAAGTAATTAAACAAACGGTAATGATTGTTGCTTCAATGTCAAACAAGATGGGCGTCCACCACACTGGACAATTGTCCCAGCTCTTGGTACAGACATACAGTTTTTTAAAGTACGAGGCATCATTTTTCCCCCGACAGTAAGTGTCCCACAGTCTATGTTGCATGCGGCCTCCCATTTTTGTTGTAGTTTATTTATTTATTTTTTTATTTTTTTATTCTCGAGAGGAATAATAAATTGGTAGTACTTGTAAATCTCTTGAAATGTAAGAATAAAAATTAATTTGACTTTTTAGTTCGACTATTTATAAACGATTACTTAACAGATGTTATAATTATAATTTAACTATGATGAAATTTATAGCATTTGATGTAAAGCGCCTTAATCATAATCCCTCCTACTAAAGTAGGATGTTATTGTACAGCGTATTTGTTTGACTAATCCAACACGAGATGCCATATGATTGGTAAAATTAACCTCATTTTTGACTTTTACGAGCTATGGACTTTCGGCAAAATTGAAGAACGATTCAGGGTAACTAACTAATCACACATTGGCTAATAATTCAACACGGAGATACTAAGTTGAACCGTAATAGCTTCTCCCACCTTTCGAAAACGGATTTAAGTTTGCCCTTAGAGCACGATTTGATAGCTTTATTCTTACATTTCGAGACACTTATTATGCGAGTGATGCTTTTCGATAGCGATACTAACGAAGGATTAAATTTGTCAAGATTGAATTATGAAAAAACTTCGACAAGGATCATAATTATGAAAATAACACCAAACCAATATTTTTGTTTTCAAGTATTTGTAGTTTCTACAATCAAGTAACTCACCTGGATGAAAACTATACATTCGTAGTGGATGGGGGAGAATATATTCCATTCATTCACCAATAATTTTGAAACCAGATTAGACAATAATTTTGTATTATCATATCCATTTATTAATCAAGGAAAATTGTAGAAAAAGTGGGATGGGGGTGGAGTGGGAGTAGGTAAGTGGAGGAAGACCTGAAAAAGAAAGGTGGGCGACCTTGAAGCCTTCAAGTCTAGTGCATGCATTTTTTGACACCCACAATTTTTTTCTCTTTCTTTGCATGCATATCTTTCAATCAACTCCGCCACCGACCTAACTCTCCGGTCGCCGGAGTTTTTCTCCGACCACCAATTCCTAGGAAGTTTAAATCTTTATTAGCAACTACTACTAAAACCCAACCGAATTTAACAGCGTCGCAATTCGAATTTCCCTTCTCTCTAAATAGAAAACCAAAAATCGGAGGAAAAATTTCTTAGTCTCCAGGTTAGTATATTCAAATAATTTAATTAATTATTGCTAGTAAATTAGTTGACTGTTCTCTTGTAATACTTCATTTTATTTTCTTTTTAAATTTTAAGGGTTTGGGTTGTAAGAAAATGGATTCCCGGGCGTGCATGAATGAGGTTTGTGGGGCATCTTCATCGTCATCGACGTCAATTGAATGGAAAAAGGGTTGGCCTCTGCGATCCGGTGGATTTGCCACTCTTTGTGCTAAGTGCGGGTAAAATTTTCTGTTCAGATCTCTCTCTATTTTCCTTATGGAAATTTCGATGTTGTGGTACTTAATTTTGGGGGTTTCGTTCCGAAGTAATTAATCTATTCGAAATTTTCTGTAATTTTGTTTTGTTTGTTTTAATTCAACTGGAAAGAGTGAAATGCCAATGGGACCATCATTTTCATAAACAGAATTTTTAGCATTTGAATAAATCTTTGAGGTGGATTTCTCCTATTACTTTTTCTGATGTTGATATTGATGGCAGTGAAGTCTGTGTCTTTGGGTTTAATGGGGCATGGAGAAAATAATTAGATGTTCATAGACAAGAAACCGTAGTTCTAGATCTAAGGATCTCAATTGTATGCTCTTTGTAGATAATTTATCACGACTTTCTATGAAGTAATGGAAGTAAGGATTAATGTATATATTCAGTAATAAATTAGACTAGTTAAAAGTGAAGGGGGCAAATTGTGGTTAAAATTGGAATTGGTATGAGAATGAGGTCAGTGAAATTTTACCTGTGTAACCAGAAGCCAGATGTTCTAGGAATTGAAAGCCATCTAAGTTTTAGTTTGAATATAAAACCTCACACAAATTTCCTTTCACCTATTTTCTCTTTAAAACTTTTCAACTTTGTTGTGGACACCCATCAACTTGGGAATAATTTTTTTTACTTCATTTGTTTCTCGAGAATTGGGCATTATCAAGAGTATGTCATGTTGAGGTTGAACTATCCATCATGGGACAAATTCGAAATATTCTTATTTACATTGTCCTATACTCAATTTCATGAATACATCCAGAGAATATAATGTTACTATATATAATTGACCACAGGACTGCCTTTGAGCAATTAGTCTTCTGTGAAATGTTTCACTCAAAGGAAACTGGTTGGAGGAAGTGAAATTCATGCGACAAGGTGAGCTAGAAAATTATTCAATGAGTTGAACATCTCTTTTCTCAGAAAAAAATCCTCTTTAATTTGTTCTAAGAGAACTTAATTGGTTTGGTATTGGTAGCGTCTTCATTGCGATGTATTGTTTCCAGCTCCTTGCTTGAGTTGCTTGACACTGGAGGTGTAAACTGTATTGGTTGCTGCAGAAGTTCTAAGCCTCACAGCGTAAGACCAATTTATGCATGTTTACATATGATTTCTTGTACATTAGGCATTAAATGTTAAAATGAAGCTAAAACTTTAGTCTTAATGTATTGTCTACTCATGTCCAATATTATGTGCCAAACACGTCTTTAATGTTCTACATTACATACATGATTGGTCTTTCCTCAATTTTTAAATCATTAGGAAATGCTAATTGGGAGAATGGAACTCAATTCTCCTTTCCGTTCTCCCAATTCTTGGGGTTCAATATCTATGATGCAGCCAAAGTAATAAGGAGGATTCAATATTTTAATAATATCAAGTCGAAATTTACAAAAAAAAAATGCTATTCGATCATAGTTAACATTAAATGATACTAGATTAGTACGTAGTCCGAACGATACTTTAGTCATCAATTTAATTAAATTCAAAGATCAAAGAAGTAGAGATCAAGAAGTAAGGATCGCAATGAACCCTGTAAGTAGACAAGTTTCTCTGAGTCAGTAGCACTCCCCCCTTTACACAAATCTTGAATGTATGCTTCTTCATAATGCTAATAAAAAAGTTAACGAAAGCGAATCGCTTCAATATCAAAAGTATCAAATTGACTAACGATCATGGCAGTGTTAGATCATGAATTTAACGAAAACCCTTAATACTTAAAACCCCATCACCCAGTGAAATCCCTATAATTTGTTCTGGTTCTGGAGTATAAGTCTATGAACTACGTACACTGGTATTATCAAGAAATAAACATTAGATTATTTTTTGAAGAAACCCTTTACACTCAATAGTTAAAATCCCATCGTTGAAGGCAAGAAGTATGATGAATACATTACCTTGATCATCGTAGCTAAAATATAAACATATATACCTACGATCCACAGCAAAAATAATGAAAATCAAAAGATCTGACAGTTATGACAACATTTGGTGTCATTTCCTCAATCTCGACGCCTTAGAATCCATTATCCAAGTGCCTCGGTAGCTATCGGTACTGGAACTTCCCTAATTCTGAAAGAGAATTAAGTTGTGGCCGAGGTGTAAAAATTATCTTTATAATGAACGAGTATTATACAAGAAAAGATTTCACCTTTTGCGTAATGTAACGAATTTATCTTCAATATTTTCGATCACTAAATAATGTATATTTCCCTTTTCTTTAAGCCCATCCATGTTTGATCCTCATTTCTAAAATTCATTACTCTTCGAAATTATTTTTAACAGTATATTTCAAGGGACCCACAACTTCTTTTAATTACACATTTCATCAACTTAGTAAAAATTTACTAAAAACCTGAAGTTTAACTTAATCAAGCTGGCGTTAAATAAAAGATAATAACAATAAATAAATAAAAATACAATGAAGTTCCATCATTTTTTAAAAATTTCTAATAAAACATATTTAAAACATTTGAATATATTACATTTTATTGGAAGCGAGCTCATCCACCCACCTAACTGAGTCAAACATCCACCTTAATTGCCAATTAAGTTGAATGTTTGATATAAGTATTAAATCTTATACTTTTATTTAATTTGATCAAATGGTTAACTATTGAAAGAGTTAGAATTATACTATCAACTTTAGGCTTATTTTGAAACTCATAATAAATTGTGAATTATAGAATCAAAATAAAAATTAATTTGAATAAACTAAACTCAAGTTAGAACCAAATAAAAAAATTACTTGACTAATAATATTAGTTTTCTATTTAGACAAAATTACTGTAGTAATATTGATCTTGTTTGATAGCTTATAATTTATGTTGTACACTGGGCTTGGAATTTTATTATTATTATTATTATTATTATTATTATTATTATTATTATTATTATTATTATTATTATTATTATTTTTGTTGCTATTATGGATAAATTTGAAATAAGATAGAATCAATAAAAGAATTAAGATCAAAACTACCCCGGTCAACCGCATAAATAGACAAGTTTCTCTGAGTCAATAATTAAATTTAAATAAAGCACTCCCATCTTTACACAATGTTAATAAAAAACTTAATTATAGCAAGTCAATTCGTTATCAATAGTATCAAATTGACTAACGAAAATGGAAGTGATTTTATATATTGGAAAAAGCCAAACGACCGTGAGGTCATCCTCACCGGTGATTGCACCCTTGCGTGCTCGATATGGGCCCCATGAATAAGATGATCCCTATAATTCGTTTTGGAGTATATATAAATACGAACTACGTACATTGGTCTTATTAAAAATAAACATTAGATTATTTTTTGTTTCTTTTGAAGATATGATGTTCAATAATCTCCTTTTAATTCTTTATTTCAAAAGTGTACGTCTACACATTATAACAGTACTAGCTGCAATACGACTTGGATGGCAGTGATGGAACAAACCTCATATTTTGTATTTCATGGAAACTGGTCGATGAATTTAACGAAGAAGAAGCATTTAATGAAAGAGATGCAAAGGCGCCGATATATATAATCCAACAACGAGAACTGTTCTTATTGAAGAAACCCAGTAGAGCATTAACAAAAGAGATAGATAATTAGATATAACCCAACAACGAAAATTGTTGTTTATGAAAAAACCTGGTTTTACATCCAACAGTTAAAATCACATCATCAAAGGCAAGATGCTTACAGAGATGCGTAAAGTAAGTATCTTGAAATAATGGATAGTTTTAAAACTCCTTTTAATTCTTTATTTCAAAGTGTATGTCAACACTACTCTCCTGCAAGGTCCAATGTGTAAGGGGGAGATGAGTTTAGTCTCTCGATATGTGAGGGGGAGATTGTTAAGGTTGTCTATATCGATTGTGGAAGGGACTAGTGCGAGGGAAAATCTGACTTTTTGAGTTAGCTTTTGGGGTGACAAGGCCCAATACCACCCAAACAAACCTCATATTTTGTAAACTGGTTAACGCAGAAGAAGGAAGAAACCTGGTTTTACATACAACAGTTAAAATTACATCACCAAAGGCAAGATGCATAAAGTAAGTATCTTCAAATAATGGATAGCTTTAAAACTCCAGCTTGATCATCATAAGCTAAAACATAAACATATATGCTTACGTATAAGCTTCCAACCATAGCGAAAGTAAAAAAAATAAACATTACATTATTTTTTTGTTTCTTATGACGATAGGATGTTCAATAATCTCCCTTTTATTTCGAAAGTGCACGTCAGTACTAACTAGGCTGCAATACAACGTGGACGGAACAAACCTCATATTTTGTATTTCATGGAAAGAAGCACTAACGAAAGAGATAGAGATGCATTCATATATAGTTAAAGACGAGATAAGCACATACAAATATACATATCTATCAAACAAAGGTTTGAAATAATTGATACCTGCTGACAACCATAGCAGAAGTAAAAAATCAAACATTGATGCCTATGATCTGAACGTTATTACAAGAGGGGGTGTCATTACCGTTGTCTCGACGACGCCTTAGAAACAACGAGTATCCCGTAGCCACAAGAGAGAAGCCCATTGGAACAGCTATTTCGAGATAAAGTGTAACTTCCATCATCATTTTGAAGAAGCAGTTTGTGAAGGCATGGTGAGTTTTAATTTATAGAAGGACAGTTTTTCTTTTTATCCTTATTAGTCTTCGCAAAATATGGCAAACTTATCCATCCCAACCTTTCAATTATATAAAAAAGGACGGTATATTTGACATTTGACTTTTTTTTCTTCTTTTTAATTGAGAAAAGGAGGTGAAAATGGGTGTGAAAATGTTAAAAAATGAAAAGTATGAATGATTTGTGCTAATTATGCTTAAATAAAAGACAATAACTAAGAGCTGTAAAACAATAAAAATAAAAATTAGACTAAATTAACTGTAGATGGCCTTTGGAGCATTGGAGTAAGAAAAAGAGGAAATTGCACAGAATGTCAATTTTTCTCAAGATATTTACAAAAATGTCAATTTTTTTAAAACATTGCAAGAATGTCAATTTAAGACATATTTGCCCCTGAAAATAATTTCAAATTTCATACATGTCCTAATTAAATGAGATTTGACCCAATGGAAGAAATTTTACAAAAATCTTGTCAATGTCATAGATGAAAAGTTGGAAAAAAAATAGATAAAGTTTAGTTCTCTCATTCAAACAACTTTAACTCTAACTCTCTCACTTACTCTCTCTCTCTCTCTCTCATTTCTCTCATTACGGGTTTCAATCCAAGAGAGAAAATTCTTGTTTTTTTTTACTCAGTTTTTGTGATATTTTTATCTGTAGGGGGTTTATGAGATGCGAAAAATGGAGCTTTTTGCTTGGTTTAAAATAAGAGATGGGGCTTGGATTAGAAAGAGGTAAAAATCCTTTTGATATTCAGTAATTTTTTTGGACATTTTGAATAATTTTTGGTTGTGTTATGATTAGAAATGTTTTTCCCCAACTTTTTGCAATTTCATACCATAAATTTTAATTTTCTCCTTTTTTATACATCTTCTATTAGTGATGCATATATGCACACGTAACATGTGCCAACACTAATGTTGAGGGAAAAAATTATTTAGGGTTCCAATTTAATATTTATCCTCTTCCTTTGCTTTCAAAGTCCAAATTTCAAGTATTTTGAATGTTTCAATATTTTTGGTACTTGTGTTATGTGGAAATAACATTACTATTACTTGGAATCCATTTGTTGTGGGAGGTACCCATATTTGGGTTGAACTCTTGCTAGACAGTCGACAGCATACCTGTGATTTTAATATTTTGTTATGCTCGAATATGAAGTGAAATATAAGTTTCAATAATACCTATTTGCTTAGAGGTGAAAAGTAGATTTCCCGATAGTTCATCTGTCGACAGTTCACTAATGTTTAGAA